ATTAAGGGGAAGATTAGAATAATCTGTAAAATTTTATCAGGAAGAAACGCTCTGGTTTCTATCTTCTTCTCTTTTCGGGTTCTCTTTGTAATATTGGATAATCAATCTTTGATTATCTTATTTTCTGAGAATACTACCACTGTGTGTATAGTAATGTTTCTATTTTCCTAATTGGTGAGTTAAGTTTAAAAGCATCTTTGTATATGCACTTTGGAAATTCTAATTGACTGAGCAGCACCAAAGAAGTTGGGAATCCAGATTAGCCTCGCAATGGTACATGAAAAGAGTATGTATAAACTGTGTTTTTCGCCTTTCAATCAGAAATATGTAACGAAAATCCCTGGACTATCGTTATTCGACATGGAGACTCTTGTTTTTGGCTCAATTTCTGCCTTTCAAATCTGCCTTGTGCAATGGTTGGGTACTGACTGATTTGGATACAAATAGGATATCTTGATTTAGTGAATAAGATACGTATAACCCCGAGTGTTACCATCTTCAATCTCTGTCTATGGTTGAATTCATAATACTCTCTTCTCGATTAACAAGCTGGTTTATAAGATTGGGATTCCAGTAATTTGTACCTTGAATCATGGATCAAGAACCTTACAATTTGGCCGAGTAACCCAACCATACACCTTCATGGACCTCTTTTGGAATTGATTCAAGCTATAGTAGCTTGTTATCATCCCAAACTGAAGTAATTTGTGTTGTTTTTTTTTATCAACCATCGTAAAAGTATGTGTGGTTTAGTATATATGAGCTCGTAAATAATGTCTCATAACACTCGATTTGATAAAAAAAACAAGAAATTGAAAAGGATTACAAGTTAAAATAACCAATTTCATCAGAAGCTAATAAAGTGAGTTGTTTAAAGCTCATTTGGAGGAACTTGGCTGTTCTCTTAGTCGTTATGGGTCGATTAATTGAGTTTGTTGGTATTTAATTCGCAGATAATCATTTTGGCCTATGAGAAATGCATCACTTTATGTTTTTGGATGTGAGAGAATTTGCTAAAGTATAGAAAAATTGCGAAAACGTTGGCAAAAGGGAAAATAAAGAATGAAGCTACTACATCTTTTTGGCATGGTATATGGACATCGAAAGGGAGGTTAATTAACGTATCAAATGCACGGGGCTATATTGGTTTGGGGGTTCATTAACATGCAATCGTGGAAATGGTTCTACAAAATCACATAAACCGAAGACACACAATGGAGAAAGTACAGTACAATGTAGTTGAAGTTGTGATAGAGGAACAAAGGAGAAAAGGTATGACTCACCACTCAAGATGATGATGCAGTTTTATGGAGACCAAAAAAAGAGACAAATTTCAGCGGAAATTTTAATTCCAAGGCAACTTGGAAATTGATAAGAGAGGGTATGGCTATGAAGGAATGGTGGAAGGGGATATGGATCACATATGAATATGTGTTTCACTCGTGGCTAGCATTCCATAACAGATTGTCACCGGTGGATCGTATGATTAAGTGGAACATAGGAACTGATGGCTCTTGCGTGCTTTGTCAAAACAATATGGAAACCCAAAATCACCTTTACTTCACTTGTAGGTAATGTATTCAGATTAAGTAAGGAGAAGATTAAGATTGATCTGAAACCTCTTAGTTCCACACAACAGACTGGGAAAGAGTAGTAGAGTTGTTGGGCAAGATAAAATCTGTTTG